GACAAAAATGTAGGATGTTGCTTTGACAACATGTTGAATAAAGACACGAACTAGGTGTCTGTTTGGAAACAAAGCTGCTTATTACATTGCTGATTTACATGCATTTGATAAAATTAGTAGTACCTCAAAAACTGGAGTCTTGCCTTTGGTAAGAGCAAGAAATCAGATTAATTTATATGCTACTACCTAATTTATGATGCAAACTTGTTCCTTTCTAAAAAAAAGTGCTAATCCTCAAATGAAAAAAGACTAAGTTTTAGAAGATGGCAAAGAGATGATGATCATGGGTTACTCATCAGTAAGCAATTAGTATTTCCTGATTTATGAATGAAATACTAATTCTAATGATGACAACATAGATTTTCCATTTATTGTCTGAAGGAGCAGGAAAAGACTCAAAATATTTCATATATTCCTTAGAGACATATTAAGGATAATATATGCACATATTATAAAGAGGCTTTATTTATTTTTCTCTGAAAAATAACAGGTCAAAACGCATTCCTTAGATATCTTCAATTTCCCTTTAAAATGAGATAGTTTATAAATGCAGTGTCCATAATGCAACAAGTAATATCAAAGTTTTTATTTACAGCCTACACTTACATCAACATAGGGTGTTCTGAAAGCACTGTCTTCTAATTATTTCCATGGAAACTACAACAAAGTGCACGATAACACTGTTTGATACAGCAGATTCCCACTAACAAAAAACTATTTTTTTAACACAGACGCCACGATTAGCCTATTGGTGCAGATGAGCTAATTGAGATGCGCTTCATTTTGTGGTGTGACAGCTGTTCACAGCCACCTGGAATGTGGTTTATCTTCCACATCACTATTGCCACTGCTGAAATGCACCCTGTGACATCGTGGGCCACCAAAATAAGAGGTGCTACTTTTGGAGCAGCCCTTTTATAAATCCAAATACATATGCATATATTTCAGTAAATAGTCTGCTTCCAGGCCTATGTTGTTTATGGTAGGCAAATTTTAAATAGTCTTCCAGCACAGAAGAGTAGAACTTGCAAAATTTCTATTGCAAAGCAGTGATCTCTCTTCAGCAGACAGCGAGTAAAGAGTTAATAAATTAAAAGTAAACAAGAGGGATGAAAGAGTTAAATAGCAAAGTGCATTATATCGCTTCCTTCATCTGTCTGGTTTAACAGTATATAAAGAACCTGTTTAACCTTCAAGACAATAAAGGTTATCACAATAAAATAAACTTGTGAAAACTTCTCCCCCCCTCTCCCCCTCCCTCCCTCAATTTAATCTCTTATGTTGCAGAAGTTTGAGAGATTTTATCAATTCTGTGCCAAGCCAGCAGCTGGTAAACTTTACTTAAATGAGAGTGAACAATTTTGTGAAAATCTTTTAGTTCGACTTCTTACTGTACTAAAACCAATTTAAAGCAACTGCTAGCCACTGATTTCTTGACCTGATAAAGAAAGAATCACTAGTGCATCTAAAGGACAGAAGATACTTGTTACATCAATTAGAGAAGGACAACAATAAGCTGATCAAGACAAACAATACTGGCCAAACTACTCCCAGACATTCACCTCAGGTCTGCTTCCATTAATCAGGGTACAGTCTCTTGCGAAATCTATAAAGGCTTTTTCAAACTGGGGTAGAGATCAGCAACTGGAACCAAGCAGTAGATTGATATCAGCATTTATTCTAATAGCCCAAAACCTAAAAAACCACCCTTTGTAATTTTGCCGTGGCTCAATATAATAATGCAAATCTGCATGACATATCACGGGGCCACATCCTCTACAAAAAGAAAAACATACAAAAGACTGCTAGTTTTGCATTTGACCTAAATGTTTAGTCTGCCAGATCTGATATAAAAATATTTAACTTCTTTTTTTTTTCTTTTTTTTTTTTAGTTCTTCAAAGAAGATCATGGCTTTTGAATGTACCCACTACTACCTTATCTGTGGTCTCATGAGATTGAAGCAGTATTAACCTGCTGTTCAAATTCACAGTCAGAGCATGAACTTCTACATCATCCACACTACTGGAATGCTGGTTTTGCTTACATATGGACCTAAGTGGATTACGCCATCTGGTATTAGGAACTACAGCCCTTTCACCAGTTTCTGTAAGAGAAAGACTGGCCAGCAGCTATTAATTCTGAATATCTAAGAAAACCTTTCAGATTCTTTTTTTTAAAAAAAAAACCCTCTCAAAAGAAAAAACAAAAAAGGTCTTTTATTCTAAAAATATATGTTTCTGCCTTCTACGCAGTATTTGGAGGGTTTTCAGTTCTGCTATTTTTCTAATATATAGGAAACATTTTCAAGAACATTTGAATTTCGAAACAGGTCAGCATACAGTTTGGGTTTCCAGGAACCACAAGAAACAAGTTTTGAAACACGTGATTCCTGGTTTTGCACTTTTGAGAATATTTCAGAAGGAAAGATCTTTTATATCTAATGACAACTGCTCAAAACTCAAAATGGTATCCTTAAAGATAAAACACAATATTTTTATGTTTCTTAAATGCTTTTCTTTCAGAAGAATTTTAAGAGCTTACAAGTTCCACTCTGACATGGAATATCCACATTTTATTTGTTTGTTTGTTTGTTTGTTTTTTTTGCTAATGAAAAATACTTGAGAAAAGAAAACAGCTTTTAAAAAGAATGAATGATCATTTTAAAATTTTGAAAAATGATTTGAAACAGTAAGATCTTTACTACATTAAGAACTAAATTCAAATAATATGTAAAAATGTCATAAAATGAACAAACTTAAAGGTCCTTATCTCTAAAAGATGAATCAGCTCTAAGATGTCCAGCACTTCCAGACATTATATCCAATTTGTTTGCATACTTGTCAAATCCAAATGCTGATATCATTCCATAGTCAATTACAGGTGCAACACTCCTCTAAAATACTATGGTATGGAGTCATCTCCAAAAATGTTTATTTGACTCAGGCAATGGTGAAATACTATGTGCAAAGGCAACCAACCACTTTTAAATATATTTAATTTCATTTGGAACATGACAGATAATTTACATTAATTACATTGTAAATCTCTTGGCACACCCTGAAGTAGGCTTACCCTGAAGACAGTTAACAGAAAAGATAACTGCTGTACCATGAAACAGTAAGTGGTCAGAGGCATCATAATACTTACTCAAAAAAAAAAAAAAAAAAAAAAAAAAAAGCAAAACAGCCAACCAAACATATAAACAAATAAGAAGACTGGGTAAATTAAGCTACATGCATGTTTCAAAAGAGGTACTTAATACAGCATGCATTGACTAAATAAACAGCGGGTGAAGCTGCTGCTAGCTCACAAGGTGTTATTCACCACTTCTTTCCCCTACTACTGACCTCACTTGATTCCTCTCCCATGGTCAGATAGCCTCAACTGGCACACACTCAACAGTTACCTATGACTTTATGAAGTCCTTAAATGCAAACTTCTTAGGTTGGAAAGTTTTTTGGTAGTTATCAGCACTTGACTCATCAGTAACACACAGTAGACATAACCATGATCTGTATGGTCCAGGGAGGTCACTACTGCTCTCCAATAGAGGGGTGTGATTTGGTTAAGCAGAACACAGAACAAGAAAGACACAGAGCTCTTGGATCTGGTCCAGAAGAGAGCCACTAAAATGATCAGAGGGCTGGAGCATCTCTCCTCTGAAGAAAGGTTGAGGGAACTGGACTTGTTTAGCTTAGAGAAGAGAAGGCTCTGGAGAATCCTCTTTGTAACCTTCCGGTACTTGAAATGAGCATATAAACAAACAGGAGGGAGAATGACTGTTTACATGGGTTGATAGTGATAGAACAAGGGGGAATGATTTTAAACTGAGACAGGGGAGGTCTAGGTTAGATATCAGGAGAAAGCTTTTCACCCAGAGGGTGGTGACACGCTGGAACAGGTTGCCCAGAGAGGTTGTGGATGCCCCATCCCTGGAGGCATTCAAGGCCAGGCTGGATGGGACTCTGGGCAGCCTGGTCTAGAGGTTGGCAACTCTACCCATGGTTAGGGGAGTGGGAGGGGGGTTGAAACTAAATGACGTTTGAGATCCCTTTCAACTGAGGCCATTCTATGATTTTATGACAACAGTAATTGAACCCTGTAGGTAATACAACACTGACAACACCAATACCAAATTCAGATAGATGAATATATTATGACTTTATATAATCTTATTTACTGCAAAAAATAAAAAAGACAGTAAAATAAAATTACAATTTCAAAATATTCTGCATAATTTACAGACAAAAGTTTATTATGTAAATCTTCACAAAAATGCAACTAAAGAAGGAAATCACTGTATTATTAAAACAACATAGCCAAACGTTTTCTAATGAAGCACAAATGTAAAGAAGAAAGAACTGGCACAGCCAACCTATCAGAACATTTGACCCTGTATTCTTCTTTAGTTCTCTGTTAAAATAAACACGATGTTTAAAAACTACAAGAAATTTTATGTTTATATAGCTAAACAGTGTTCTGCTTAAGTGTCTAGATGTGTTTAAGAAGTGATAATATCATTATCATTAACAATATTAAATACATACATTTTAGGAAAATGAGCTAGTACATGCATATGTATTTGTTTACAATTCATTAAATAATAAATATGAAATTGAGAACTATATTTATTATAAATCCACTGACCCTCTGCATTGTGGGAGCCCATGCAAGCCGTGAAAACATTGCTGGGGAAACTGAAAGGTTTGGTTAGGAAAGCCAACTTGTATGTAGCAGAGCAAAATCACTGAAACCTGCTTCCACTCATAATGGAAGTTTTATATCTTAATGCATTACTTACTGTTGTTACTCAAGTCCTCTCAGACACTATCTGATCACGTTCAGTATTACTGTCCTGCAGACACTGACTTCAACATGCAGGGTAAATGCAGCTAATAAGCATAATTAGCTCAGACAGTGTATTTAATTTAGTGTTGCGCTAAAGACTAATTGCCTACTCAGCGAAGGGGAAGTGTAACATTTTTTTTAAAATGCTTACCCGAGGGCCCTGATCACCTTGATCTCCCTGCAAAGTGGAAAGATGAGATGATAGGTTTAACACAGCATCTGTGTGCTACCCAGCTCTCTTACATCATCTAACATTACACTGGGTCAATACAAACTGTGTCTTTAGCTCATGCTGTGACGTATTTCCATTTACCTGTGAAGTGACACCTGTACATCAACTCACCTTCTCGCCTTTTGGACCAGGAGGGCCCTGGAGAAAAAAAAAAAAAAAAAAAAAAAAAAAAGAAAGAATTAAGGTAATGAATTAATGGTACCATTGAAGCCATGGACACTATAAGAAAAATGTGCAAGCGAATGCAGTGATTTCTACACAACAAAGTGTTCCCTTGTCATTTTTTGCACCAGACGCTGGAAGTATTCCAGAAACAGCTTCTTTGCAGTAAACTATAGGCACTGTACAGTTATTCTTTAAATAGTTTGCTTACTCCATTTGCTAAATCAGACTACTTAGATAAGCAAAAGTATCTCTGATATGGCAAAATTTCTATTGATTTCAGTTATGGGCAACAATTTATTTCCTGTTAGATAATAAATATTTTCTAACACTGTAAAACTTCTTTTCAAGTACAGTTAATAAATTCAGAGGCTTATAAATCTGCCATTTATTTTGGCACCCTTCGTAGCTTAGATTGCCAAAGAAAAATGGATCAGAGAATCTAAAAGCAGTGCTTTCACATCTATCTTTGGAAACACAGAAGTTGATGTTTAGTCTCAAGCACGTTATTTTAGGTAAAATAAGCTCTTTTATGAGAAATCTGTGCAACACCATTCTGCAGAAATAATATTTATTGGTATTTACCACCAGAGAAACAGAAAGGCAACAGTATCACAAAACAGCGAGGTCCTTTAATTTCCATTTTTATTGAGCACCTTCCAGAAAGCTACTCACAGAATTCTGAAACTACTTCTCAGGTTAGTATCTCGCAAGTAAAAATGCTAGCAGGTCTGCAGACAATCAGCTGCTTACACAGAGCAGATGCAACCTCCAGCTTTCTGAAAGATGCACAGGTGTTTCATTACAAAGAAGGACCTGAGGTACCTATGAAAGCAGCTGGAAACAGAGAAGGAGCCACCCAAGCTAGTCTGCTCACTATTATGACAGAAAGTGCTGTGTGCGCTTGTGCACGTATTGCGTGTCGAACAAGAAAAGATTGCAACAGAATTGAAAATAACTGAGGTTACTGAGAAGAGCACACCCAGGCAGCTTCTTAACTTGCATTTATAAAAAATTCCTGCAGCCCACATAAATGCAAGTGCAGGGAAGATCAGTCTGCTGGGTATTTTAGATGTGATCAACCACGTGCAATTCTGTCAATTCCTACTGCAGCCAATTTTCTACTTATTTTTAAGTAGAGTAGAGCATCTGCTGCTAAATCTTACAAGGAATTAAAGCATATGCCATTCCTTCCACAACCTGCCACCTCTTCTGCCTGCTGCAGAGCCCAGGGACACAGGAGGTCTCCCCTCCTCTTCCTTACAAAGGGCAGAGCTTGCTGCAAGCTGAGTTGAAGCCTCCTGTGCCATTAAGTGTGGCCTCTGCCCTTTTTGTGCTGCCCTGCAAGAAATCGGCCTCTTTACACACAAACCAAGCAAAATCACTGATACATCTGCTGCACGTTTTAAGTCCATTTATTCATTTATTTTATAGGTCATCTCATACATGTTATCAACATAGTGAGTTTGCACACTCACCTTAGTGGTAACACTAACTGCAGAGAATGGGAAGAATTAATCACTCAGTGCAGGCTGCTACTTTTTTGTTTATGGCGAACACAGAGCATAAGCAGAGAACTGTGGCTATTCTATGTCTATGAATTATTAAAATATTACTGGCTATGAATATCTTACTGGCTGCAAACCACAAATAGCATGACCTCCATCTGCTACAGTCAGAATCCTATTTCTTGGATCTTAGGCATGAAATTACAGATAGCACAACATGACCAAGAGAGCAAACAGATGTCGGACTTTAAATCTTGCTGTGAACATGGGAGATGTTACTGTCATCATCCAAATGTTCAGCACTATCCTTACATTCATGGGTAGCCCTGCTTTCTAAAGAGCTTTGGATCATGGCTTACGAAGTCAGTCGGTTCCAAGTAGGATGCCCAAGACCTCAGTAAACTAAGATGGCTCAGTGGAGCAAAAACACAGTAAAGCGTGTTCATGAATGCCTTCACCAGCAAACCTTAAGACAGCTAGACCATCTCCTGGTACAGCTGTCAGCAATATGCTCAGCCAACTCCACCTGCAGAGGTGTCCCTACTGTATTTCCTGGAGATTTTCCTCTGATAAGGGATCTCTGAAAATACAATCCACAGTTGGTTGTTTTGTTTTGGTTGGTTTTTTTTTGTCTCATTTTTTTTTTAAATGAGGCAATCACAGACTTCAATTCAATTTTGTTCTCCTTTCTTTAAACAGGGTTTTCTGAAAATTACCTGTCCTCATGGTATTCAGAAATCTATTTTCCATTCATTGCTCTCTAAGGGGCAAAGCATATAATTAGAACCATTTGAAGTTAACTCACCCTTTCAGCATATAAGCTTTTTTCATGCAAAGCTTTCATCAATATATGACAATTTTATTGTAGAAGAGGTTAAAAACAGCTTTTTTCAAAAGGCCACAAAAGCATTTTTGGCGTGAACATTCTCACAAGTCTCTGTACTTGCATTTCTATTGCCTCCCCTTTGCACTATTTAACTTGAAAAATAAAAATCAACAAACAATCCCAAACAAAAATAGTTCTTTCAGACGCTATCGAAAAGAACCAGTAGGGTTTCACTAAAAGAAAATTAATGCAATTCTGACATGGCAAGGTCACCCATCTTTGGTTCTTCCCTCATTGCTTCAATTGTTCTCTGTTGTTTCTGTAAGCTTAAAAAGAAAATTCCTATCCTCAGTCTTTGACATCTTCTTTCCATTTGTGCTGAAAAATTCTCCCAAGGTTTTTACAGCAGACTTTATTAGTGTGTGTACACTGAGTGTAGGAAGGGAAGAAAAAAAAAATCTGAGGAAAAGCTGAGTTTATGGGGGCAGGGCGTGATTAGGAGATGGATTTGTTTAAAGGAGGACAAGATTTCTTCTGTAGAAGGCTACAGACATAAAGAACTGAGTGAGTAAAATAACACTGGCTTTGCGGGCCACAGCATAGACATCCTGCTTTTTTCCCAAGGAGACTTCTGCACTTTCGTTTATGAGATGGCAGAGATCAAGCCACTAGCTGCTGCACAAATGTGAAAGCATTTTGTGTAAGTTATATGAAACGTCTGAGGTCAGAGCATTTCTGAAATAACTTAACAGTGTTTTCACTGGAAACAGAGGCTCTTTTCTCAGAGTGTAATTATCTGCTCCAGACTACTATATATTTCCAAAGAGAGTTTATAGCCTGTTTCACATAAGGAAAGGCTTGTAAATCACAAACACATGCAAAATCTGCATTCATAATTAGGCGACAAATACTACTGTTTTTTAAAGCAAGATCTTCTAAAGCAGACTGAAAGGCCTCCGGGCACCTGCCAGCCAAGAACTGAAATCAAGGTCAAATCCATTCAACAGCCATGTTCAGGATTATTGGCAGATTATTTTTTCTTGGGGTGGCAGTGGGATAGAGACCATCAAAATCTCATTTATCTTCTCTCATGAAATTCTTACATTACTATAAATGTATGTAGTAAGGAGTGGAGGGGCAAGAGGACACAACATTGGAAAACAGGAGACCAAAACTTGTGGTCTTTACTCAGACAACACTCCCAGCTAGGTTAACTAGATATTCTTGAGTGTGATCAGCATGATTTTTCATATAATTGGTATTTTACAATTCATTTCCTAAAATAAGCTAAATTTGCATTCCACACTTTCAGCCAATACCTCCTTCATAATTTTTCAAGATACATTTTAGGGGAGATTTATATTAGAAATTAAGGAGAAATTTTTCATTCGGAGGGTGGTGAGGCACTAGGACAGGCTGCCCAGAGTAACCGTGGAAGCCCCATCCCTGGAGGCATTCAATGTCAGTCTGGATGGGGCCCTGAGTAACCTGATGTAGTACCTGATATAGTGGTTGGCAATCCTTCTCATGCCACAGGGGGTGGAACTAAATGATCTTTATGGCCCCTTCCAACTGAAGGCATTCTATGATACATTCAAGGGACATCTTCAAGAGACAGTATTTTATTTATACTCATTTAGGAAACATTCAGAAGGTATGACAGATATACATCTTTTTCTACTGCTTTAACTGTAATAAAGCAAGTTTGACCATGACTTCACAAAAGGCTCCAGGAATCAATAGAAATGCAGAAATGAAAATACTAAGGGATATTCTGAAAGGAATTTAAAGAAACAGCAATGTTTCCAGTCTAAGTCAAAAGCTCTGAAGTCTTCGCAGAGGAACTGGGACTTTTTAGTGACAGTTGGATAACACTGCATAAAGAAGCTACCCATATCAAGCTGGCAACAACCGATCTAGTGAAATCAATTGCATTGTGACCCCCAGGTCTTGGTGGGATCATCTGGCTTCCAGATTTCTAGGGAACTGGAGATGCCAAACTTGGCAGCTTCAATCAGACAGAGCTACCATAGCACTGTCAATAACTCTTAAGATAGGCACCACATTCCTTTATTTCCTCCAAAACAAATACAGCCATGGGTTAAGTCATCCTGACTGAATGCATCTGGCAAGATTCTACCTTCATTTTCATTTTGCAAAAAGCAAAACACAGTGCATTTACCACTGCAGGCAGTCACAGTATCCACACTAAGACTGTAACTGGAAGCATAAGGGAACAATAGCCTTGCAGAGAGCACTGAAGTGAACTGGTCAGTCTAACACTAGCTAGGCAAATTCAAAAAGAAAGCCAATCTGCCAACTTGCTTAAATATACCTTCACAGTTGCATGAATACACTAAGTCAATTCCTGCACTTTACTTTGAAGATAAAAGCTGTTTTCAGCATGTAACAACATAGTATTCAGAAAAAAAATGTTTGATTTTTGTTTCTTAGAAATTTTGCTCATGACTTTCAACTTTACCAAATCACAAGTTACTGAGTGGAACAACATTCCTTCGCCTAACCTATTGAATATTAGTATCAGATATAATGAATCATAAGATAAGAAACAGCAAGGAATATTAAAAAATACAATATAATTTCTAAGTTCCTATGCTCATAATTTTATGACCTCCATGCAA